GGGCCGCACCGCTTTTTCTCCCCTACATGCAGGGGGGGGGGGGGGGGGAAGCCTCTTCAACTTCAGGTTACAGCCACTAGAGGTCTTTCCTACTTTCCTATGGTAGCTTCAATTCAGTTCGTGCTGCTTTTTTATTTATTCCTACGTGAGCAGACCCAGTACACTTCTGGCATATAAACAGTGAAAATTACAACATAAACGATAACTTATCCCTGCTTTTGGAGTAACGTTTCTGCTACTCAGAGCTTTGGCTATCTGTGGGAGTCTAAAAGGAGGTATTTCCAGCAGGTAATCCCAGATCTATCAGGTAAGGATTTGTGTGGCTTTTGTCACTGATGCTTGTTTGAAAATGCCTATGTTTAGTTTTGCTTTTCTTACTATAGTATCATACTTCAAAGGTATAAATAACTCAGAGTCCTCATATATATATAAGAATGACTGCTGCCTGCTCAAAAGAGTAAGCTAAAAAATGTAATTGTTTGCAACTGGCTTTGTTATTCAAATGTCCTGATTTTATTTCTAGTATAAAATGGAAGAAATAAAGTGGGAAATCCTTTATATGCAACTATGGGTGTTTTTTTCCCCCAGAGAAATGATTAGCTCTTTAATGATGTTAGAAAGCTATTCACAATATATCTGCCCCCTTCTGTCTCCATAGGATTTTTTTTCCTTCAGTAACCCTTTCTAGCATAAGCAGCATCTTTAACAGTCTTTGATGGAAGCATCCTTCAGTACAATTAAAATATTTTTGAAACAGTTGCTTCTATCAGTCTTAAAAGCAAGCTGTCTTTGAACTTCAGCATTGTAATTGCTTTGTAGCCCTGTACATGTGCTTAGACTTACCCACTGCTAATGAAAACTGTGTGAACGAACAGATGACACGCTTTGTTTCATGAAGAGTTTCTGTTGCCAGTGGGCTAAAATTATGATTTAGGTACCCAGTTCTGAGTCACTGATTATTGAGCGATCAAGACAGGGAAAATTGGTAGTAGTTTGTTCTTGGAAAAGTATTGCCTTATCAACCCAGTACTGTACAACCAGCTCAACCTTATAATCTAGTAGCCCTCATATTTTTCTTGATTGAAAGATGATTAGTTGTGAATTAATCATCCTCCCAAATTTAAATCTGAAAATTGCCTCTAATGCTCTCAGCTGAATCTAATCAAGGAACTGCATGAGCACAAATTTCCATGTTGTATGGGATTTTCCAAAGTTATCTGGAACCTATGATCCACTTTTCCCCTCCAAATAAAATAAAATAAAATAAATCGATTTTAAAAAAAATCAAAATCAAAACTTAAGCATATTTTATCATCAAGGAGCAAACCAGGAAAAAGATGAAAGAAACATTTACAATGAACAACAACATTAGACCCCGAACAGGATCCACTACTCTACATTACTTTGTTGTAGCTACTTTGTATCCTGCTCCTTAATATTTCTTATCAATTATGATAGCACTGTCTACAAATATAGCCACCAGTCAATCAGTCAGTCAAGTCTGTTGTGACGTATACTCTGGTGTGTGTTTTTATTCTTTTTAAAGCTACTTTAGACACAAGAATGTGAATTTTGTTATTGACAAAATAAATAAATAATTCAGATATTAAGTTGTTCGAGGAGAAGCTTGATATGACATTGCAGTGATGCTTACTTAGCCTTGTTAAAAATGTGTCTAATGAATCACTGTGCTGATATGCATGATTGAAACTAGGTCAAACATGTGTAAAAATAAGTGTAATCACAGCAAACACTTGCCTGATGAGGGAGTACTTAACAGAATGTTAAAAGGGAGAAGTCTGTTCTGAAGACATAATGCTATTACAAATCTATGCAATCAATAATGTGCATAAATTTAATGCCTGCACTGCACAGGATTGTCTCATCACTTGATTTGAGACTACATGTTCTAAGAAAAACAATGTCCACCCACTAGGATAACAATATTGATAAAGATTAAATAATGCCAGATTTTTTTGCCTGGTAGGGGAGGAAGTGACAAGGTAGATGTCAATGATTTTATATCTATTAGTGCAATATAAAAGATGAAACAGGGTGTCCAAAGAAAATGAAGTATTCTTTCTGTAAAGTTCAGAGCCCTCTGGCAACAAAAGAAATTAAGGTAATTAGACTTTGAAAAGCAGCAACAAAGAACTGGCTGGCTTGAAAGCATGTACTATCAAGTATAAGCTATGGAAAATGAACCTGTTTAGAATTTAAAATAAAGTAAATAGCAAGTGACAACTGTTCCAAATGATTAAAGCTAACATGGCTTGGTAGACGATAAGAACAGATGACTAAATTTATATGCCATAATCCCTAGACATTTGCCATGCAGTTCTAATAGACTGGTGTGGGCAGAGAGACCGTAGGGTTCTATGAAAAGAGATGGCAAACTTCAGCACCTAGCAACCAAAATCTCATCATACTTTACAACACCAGATGGTGACAGGTTGCCGTAGTAACTTCAAATAACTTACAAAAAGCCACATAAATAAAAGAAAAGGGAGAGTTGGGACTATGTGACTAATGAAGCCATTTGTTTACAATGGCCCATAGCTGTTGAACACTAACACTGCTAACCTTGGTGTTCTTCTTCAGATGTCTGTGACAATAGCACTGGTTCTTCTACATCAGATCACACCACACCACTCCTACAGATAGTAAACCAGTTATGGAGAGAGAGAGACTCCAGAAATGCCCGTGAAAACTCATCGGTCTGTGAATCTGGACTTAAGTTAACCTGAAATACTGGGTTTCATGGGTTCATCTCCCTCCCTCATGCAATATGTACGTCTACATTCAGCATTACATGACTAGACTTCTAAGTGCCAGTGGACTCTCCTTGCCATCCTTGCCCTGAAATCTTCTCCAGCATGTCTCCCAACTCTCCAGGCCAGATTTTGGAAGGGCTGTAAGGAAGATTTGGAAATCCATCCCCTCAGAAGATAACGCTCTGCCAGTGGATGGACAGTTAGGCACCATCTTTTATATAAATTGGTAACATAAATGCTTAAGTGAACAAATGGTTAGGATGTTGACGTTCATATTCTGCACCTTTCAGTATATAGATTTTAGGTGCCGCTTGTATATAGGGGTTCTCCTGATAAATGTGCATTTAGTTAGGAAGCTCCTGTAAATTACCTACAACAATGAAGGCCGTTCAATCCCACCAAAGCTAAGTAGGGCAGTATTTGAAGCTAAGAACTGAAAAACAAAAGGCGGGTCATGACTTCCAACTTTAACATATATCTACAAATACCAATCATATGAAAAGTTGAAAAGCTAATCTGAATGAACAATGATTTTTTAACTGGCAGTTTTGGATATCAAATAAAAATAAAGGATGGGATCTAGACTTACAGTGCACTCCTGTACATGTTTAGAAGTGGCCTCTGCTGAGTTGAGTGAGATTTACTTCCAGCCATGTAGGTTTGCTGCAGGTAGTTATCTGTATGTAGCTTACAGTGGAATCAACAAAATTCCTTCCTATGCATATTTCCCCAGGAAAAAAAAATGCACAGAATACATGGGAGCTTACTTCTGAATAAACAAGCATATAAAGGTAAAGGTTCCCCTTGACAATTTTTGTCCAGTTGTGTTCGACTCATCCCCGTTTCTAAGCCATAGAGCCAGCGTTTTGTCCGAAGACAATCTTCCGTGGTCACATGGCCAGTGCGACTTAGACACGGAACGCTGTTACCTTCGCACCGAGGTGGTCCCTATTTATCTACTTGCATTTGCATGCTTTTGAACTGCTAGGTTGGCAGGAGCTGGGACAAGCGACGGGAGCTCACTCCGTCACGTGGATTCGATCTTACGACTGCTGGTCTTCTGACCCTGCAGCACAGGCTTCTGTGGTTTAGCCCGCAGCGTTACCGCGTCCCTAACAAGCATATAACCGAGCTCTTAACCATGACTTGAGGAAAGTTCTGTCCATTTCAGTGGGAAATAAGTGAAACTCTGGACCTCTGTATCTGGTTCACTGGAAAAAATATGTCTCTTTGCCTGTGTCAGGATATGGCTACAGACCCAAGAACATTCCTTCACTTTCAGCTCCAGCAATAGGCTATTGTGCAATAATTTCGGGTTTCTGTTCATGAAATATTGCTATGCTGTAGGATCGAAACATCTCACATTTGTCACAGTTTACAGACATCAAATTCATAATAATCAACTCTGCCACTGTTAAGGAACTGGGTTTGTTTTGTTTTGTTTTTAATCTGTATGCTTCATGTTTTACAGTTCACTAGAGCTGTCTTCTTATCTTTCATAGGTGACTGGAGAATAGCCCAGGTTCCCCACTTGCACATTTTACTGACAGGGCCTCGATGTAGACTGAAGAAGTCATACGTCAGCTCTGCTCTTCTCCCACTGTTTGCGAGGAATTCTAGGCACATCAGGGGTTTAGCAGAATTTGAGAGGATAAAAATCTACATGGTAGAGCCACGTAATTGGAAATTTGAGATATATAATTAGGAGTAAATATGAAAAGGGAATGGTAACAAGTTGTTTTCTGAGGTTTCAAAGGGCTGCTATGGGTTATAAAATTATGGCACTTTCCCTCCAACGCTGCATCTCCTTAGTAACCAAAATATTAGACTGGCAATTGGTTTCAATTGCTGTACTCACTGAGGCCCAACTCACTACTAGGTGAATGTTCTCCACTCTTAACAATCAGTTGCTGTCCCCAGGTCCTTTGGAGAGCTTTTGAATAATCTGGTGGAGTTTAGTTCTTTCCCCCAAGTGTTCTGACAGATGAAGTATATTAAATAAGGAAAGCTTATTAACTCATCTTTGGGATCCATTCAGCAGTGTTCTCAGTTGGAACACGCAGTGTGAAGCAGAATAGATAATTCTTCTTGAGATGTTGCAGGATATACCTTTAGAATGTCCTTCATAGATAGCATGGACAACTGCATCCCCATAACTTCTATCTTGCTAACTTACTGCTTGAGCCATGCTCGAAAAGAGCATGTCATTTGTTGTTGTTATTTGGACTTCAACTCCTAGAATTCTACAGGTGAAATTCTCGGATTTCTAGCCCACGGTCTCATACCTGCAGACACCTTCATTGCACTCCCTTACACAAGACTGAAGCCTTGGCGATTCTATAGCATTTGCTGCTAAAAGGCTTCCTAGGCTTGGTAGTCTTGCTGCTCTTGAGGATCGCTAGATGATCTCTCCCCCAGAACTACAATGCCTAAGAAGCCTTGCAGTAGCTTCTTCACAGGCTTCCAGGAAGGGGGCAAGCTTTCCACAGCTTGAGAGTAGCAATAGAGAAGGCCCTCTCTCACATCCCCACCC